CATGCAGCCTCTGGAAGCTGTCACCTCGGCCTGCACCTCTTTTCTTTAGGGTCCCGAAGGTGACGTCCAGGCGCAGTGATGTCAGCACCTGGGCTGCTTCACCGCAAGCCTCACCTGGTCAGCTCTGAGCTGCCCGGCAAGGCCCTCACGAACAGTCGCCGGTCCGCATGCGTTGTCCTTTGTTGGCCAGATGGCCATTGGAATCCCCCAACTCCAAATTCATCATATCATCTCAAAACCATTGCCCCTGCAGCACCCCCGCCCACCACGACCGTGCATAGTACTTGCGCTCCCTCGCTGCAGCCTCCTAAGGCTACAGCGCCCAGCTTCTCTCTACAGACGGGCCGCCACCGGCACTACACAAACGCCTTTAGTTACACGTGCTACACTCCTCCTGAAAGGGGGTCGGCGGCACCCGGGCGAAGCCCTTACAATTACCATACCACACTGCTTGGGGAAAAACAATACTGGCCAACTGCTGCATGTTCATGCCGTTCATGACCTCAAAACCAACACCAAAAGCATCAAAAACTCGTTGCACACGCGTGCCAGGTTTTCTTGCTCGGTCTTCGGTCCAGGACGGTCTCCTGCCCCGAGACCCGGAAGGAACATCCGAGGGACAAAGATCTTCCAGTCCTTAGGCCAAAACACTTTGCTGCAGCTCTGGGTGTCATCAGGTGTCATAGGCCTTGCTTTTGTTGGGGGGGTTTAGAGTCTGAAGACAGTCCGTATACAGCTCAAAAATTCCCACCGGAAGACTCCAGGACTCGGTGATCCACCGAGTCCTAGGCCGGGCGCCCGAGCGGGACTGGTGAGTAAGCTCCAAGGTATCTCAGAGAAGACCCTCCGAAGTCAGTCCTATTTGATGTAGCTTTGGAACATTCGGTTGGTCCCAGTGCTTCTGAGAAGGCATCAGCATTTGGATGGATTTGGACTTGGTCGGCAAGGACAAGAACTTACAACTACCATCAACTACCAAGGGCCCTCACTCACCACAGTTTTGAACCCTTCTAGAGAGCATGCCAAGTCGACGTTGAAACGGTTGCACCCAGCAACCCTAGAGGCCCTGAACGCTCCCTCAGCACAAACACTCGGGCTCACTAATGACCTGAACAAGGACCCGTCACCTGGGGTTACCTAGGACCTATGGGATAGTCAGTCCAAAAAAGGCTTCTTCAACCTCTGTTGGACAATGTTCCCGACTTCAGAATCTGCACCAAAGAGGAAAAACACATTATGAAAAACCACAGCCATCCCTCAATCATCCTCAAAACCACCACGCCGAATCCTCCGAACCGAGCTTCTGCCTGGCCCTCGTCGATGAGGCACACTGCGCCCAGCACGCGGCAGAGCGCCACCTCCCCCACACGCAAAGTGCGAAAACTGACGTCGATGACCTGGGAAGGACCAGGCGGCGCATGAGGGAAGAGAAGTGGGGGGTCTGGGAGGTGAAAATGGGGGTCTGGGAGGTCCTGAGTGAAGATGAAGATGATCCTCTCTGGAAGAAACTCTGGCCATGTGCGATTGATCTTCAACATGATTCAACAGCTCTCATCCGTCGTTCGTTTTCCCTCACGAAGCGCCGAGTTGTGAAGGCCGGGTCATGCATCAAAGAATGGGATTTCTTGGGTAGCATGTGGCAGGGAGCGGCCTCAAGACAGTCGCGCCCATTGGACTTGAAGGTATACTGGATAGTAGGACACCTTTCGAATTTGTCCGTGCAGTTCCTGCAGGAGCAGCACTGCAGATCTGGGTATACCTACTACCGCGCACTGCGCAGTCTTTGGCCTGACGGATGCCCAACAGTTACGAGTATACTCTATGGATGTATAGCTTGTAGCGGGCCGCAGATGGCCGCTGCACACAAATGAGCTCAGATGAGCTCAGATGGGCCATAGGCCTTGTAGCTGGGTTTGGAACATTGGGGCCTAGGGGCCTAGCACCTTTGCAGCCGTCTTGGCGCAGAATTGACACACACTTCGAAGGGGGTCAGCCGCAGCCAGGTGTGATTCCCCTGCAGATTCACTTCGAATTTGGGTGGTACAGGTGAATCTGGTCGAAGTCAATTCTCGGGGCTCAGGTGAGTTTGTGGGAGAGGTCACCCATGTTCCGCTGAGCATCGTCCAAGGGATCATCGTCTCCAGGGGCACAGTGCAGCTCATCGTGTTGGAGGGGATCGCGGTAGGTCCTCGAGTGGCGTCATGTTTACACGGTGTGTACTGTACGGAGACCCCCACCCAATGGGCTCTATGTTCCCTACCAACCTGAGGGTCCAACTAGGAGGTTGCCCTATTTCAATACACGCCCACATTTCGGGGGGAGTCCAATTCTGCCAAATTTGGTATTCATTCAGGAGTTATGCCGACCACATGGAGTATTATTTGGAAGTTCTGGGAATATGTCTGGAACCCACACCTGCTTTGATGGAATAACTTCACACGTTTGTATGACTCGTAAGTACTGGATACAAGGGGTCATTCAGGTTCTAGGTGCACGTCCATTAACGTCTGTTGGATCTGCTAGCGACCTGTTTGGGTATATACGTCGCACAACGTCACTCTGAAGTGACCAAGATGACGTGCGCCCCATGCCACGACGAAGCACGCCCCAAAAAGGAACATTAGCAGCACCATGAGCCAAGGCCATACCCATTTACTGTATATATACCAGGACCCTCCAAGGGGTGTCTATTTATAGCCCCTTAGCCGTTAAGGAGTGTCCATTAACTACCCCTTGAAGGCATTGGTAGTTAGATTTGATATAGTACGATCTTCTAAAACTTGTTTCCATCGAGCAACCTCATGGTGAGTTCCTCAAACAAGCTAAGCCCAACATTGCTTGGAAAAAGCACCTGTCCCAGTATTCTCCAGACGACCAAGACGACCAAGTTGGAGGTTCAAACCATGTCAAGAATCCTATGGATTGCTCCAGCTACCCTGTGGTAGCTCCCAGAAGTTTTACATCCCCATGGCAGGACGGGCCATGGGGGTGCATATATATATATATGTGTCATAGGGGCCCCAAAAAACCATCAAACAACTTGTTTTCCCTAAACCACAGCTTTTTGAATGTTGGGCTTGAGGGCTGCTGGTATATATATATACACATATATACACCATACATGGAGTGTCCGGGATCTAGTCCCTTAATGTCACGTCTTATCAATCAACTTGGGGAGTGCTATTGCCTAGCTCGGAGTTCAGCGTTTGCGATGTGCACTTTTCGTGCGGCACTTCTTCGCTTGGTGAGACCCATCTGCATACGACTACGACGACTCCTGCGACGACTCTTCTTCCGCAGTCGTTGCTACCCGAGACACACTCATCTCCAGTTTCTTCCGAGCATCTGTGGAAAACAGCCGTAGTTGAAGGGCACCTTGGCTGTCCAGTCCGCACTCCCCACCATTCAGACCTCACTGGGTCCAACTGTGCAGAATTCCAGCCGTTTCATGCCGTTTCACCAGCCTAAAACCAGCCGTTTCAGGCGGACATGTTGCACACTTGGAAGATCCTACACTCCAGTAGGATCCTTCCACTCCATTGTTCCACACAATGCCTTTCGCTTTTGAAAACGGCTTCGGAGCCTTCGATTCTCACAGTACTCTCAGTCTTTCGGGGAGTCGATTGCCATGTCCGTTCCACCCAGGATGGACACCCGACTCGGAAGGCTCAAGATGGCTCTGTGGTGTGTTCAGTGAAGGCTCGGTGGTTGAAAGACCGAACAATTCCTTCAAAAATGAATCACCCTAAGGCCTTTGAATCAAGAACATATCAAACCAACGAAGGAGTACTTACGACCTAAATATTACCTAAGGTATCTATCTCAATAATATGCTTGACAACAAGTTTCCTCGATGATCTCCAAACATGCTTTCGACCTCTGGGCAGCCACACCGGCTTGCCAAAGGCCTTCAATTTCTCCGTGGCCTTGGCATCCTCCCGGATGAGGTTCCCCTCCTCAGCGCGAGGCGGGCAGCGACGGCGCCGTTGTGGAGGAGGGGACAACGAGCGCGTTGTGGGGGAGGCTTCTCGGTGGAGGTTGGAGTGCGGTTGTTTTTTCCACAGGGTCTTTGGGAGAATTCTATTCCTGGGGCCATTGTGGCTCATTGATCGGCCCTCAAACTACGTGATGTTGGTCCATTGAGCTGTATAAGAATTAAAAACCTTGGCGAAGGGAGGGGGCCTTTGGGTGGTCGATGACAGTGCCTTGAGTGCCTTGCCACGTAAGTAGGGCCCAAGTGGTAGCAGTACGCACGTCGGCCAGCCAATACGAAAAGCAGGAAGCGGTACACTTTGAAACGTGATGCCGCAAATCGGTGGCAGTTCCCTAAGAATGCAGTTCTCGGCGCTGTTTTCCCAACCCTCAAATGTTTCGAAGACACATTTGAGAACGGTCCACCCAACGTTCTCCGCACTCCTCGATCCTTCGGACCTCCTCGATTGCAAAATGACGCCGTTTTCCGCTGTCTCCGAGGTGCCAAGGTGGTTTGAAGCTCAAACTTCTTCAAAGAACCTCGAGGCATCTCCGTCACGAAATGCCTCGGCGCGGACCGCATCGCGGCTGCGTACGAGAAGAGTTGGTGGAATCCGACACACCCACGAAGGAAAAAACACACACATCCACGGGGGTGCGACCCCGATTCTCAAAGAAAAGAAAAACAGGTTCTCCACTGATCACGGGGTATTCCAAATCAAGCCCCAGGTCATGCGACCAGTCAAAGCCTCATTTCCTTCGCGTCGGGGGGTGGGCGCCACCCCGAGGTCATGTCCAGTGCCCTGAGGTCATGGGCCCGACCACACCATGGCTCCGTGAGGCTTCGGGCACCCCCAAAACGCCCGATTGGCCATTTGCAAGGTGCAATTGGCAGTGACTGCGGGGAGTGAAATTCTTTTTTGCAGTATGAGGGGTCCACAGGTAAGTTCTGCCTCTTTTGTGAGACTATACTATAGGGAAACAACAACAACAACAACAACAACAACAACCACCACAACGACAACGACAACGACAACGACAACGACAACGACATAAAATGAAAGAGAACAGGAACCAGGGTGGGACACAAATAATGGCCGTTGGTCATGCTGCTGGTCTGTGAGCCAAACAAGACCAGCACCCTGACCTTGATGACCAAATACTACGTGAAATGAGACCCCTACATTCTTGAAATCCAGCAGCTCTTTTGTGGGGTGATTTCTCGGGTTTCAGACGGTCGTGAAACATCCTCGCCAATCCCACCCCCCACCTCTCCACGACCTCGGCCGGTGTTTTCTCGAGGTGCAAAAGCCCAGTCTCATCATCCAACCAATCCCGCAAGAACAGACTCACCTGGTGGCCACGGCTCGGCTCTAGGTGTGAGCCGGTGGGTCTCTCGGTGGGTCCGTGACACAAAAGAGCGCCTGTGGGTCACAGGCCCCTGGGCTGTGAATGAAGGTCAGTCACGGGTGGGAGCGAAAGTCACATGGCGTTTTTTGGCAAGAAACCCTAGAAGTCCGAAGACTATATTTTGACCGGCTGAAGTAAAGGAAGTGTCCTTTCCGGTCTCCTAAAGACCATTCTTTTTATAGTCTTTGACTCCCAGGGGAAACATTCTACATCTACACCCTGTAGAAGTCCAGCTCGACTATACTTTGCCCCACTGAGGTCAGTCGGAAGTTCGTTGTTCCTTTTCACTGAGTTCACCAAAAGAACCGGGTCAAAAATCAGGGGTATGGATAGGTTATGATTTGGATATGGACTCCGCAGGTGTACTTACTTCACATTTACTTCACATATGATCCATACTATCATATATACCTGGATCATCCAATGGGTGTCCAATGGAGATCCCTAAGCAGTGCAGGGGTAGTCGAGCCAGGACACGCATTAGATGCTCCTGGTATGTATTATCCTTTTATAATATTCCCTAGGGATCCAGTCGTACCTTCTCAGGTACGGTGAGGACGGAGACTATTTATGTAGGCGCCAGGGTCGGGCCCAGTCGTACCTCCTGAGAAGGTGGCCGTGGATCCATAGGTGGCTTGGGGTCCTCCCTAGGGCTACATCTGATTTCCAAAACGACCGCCCGGGTGCTTGCCAGTCGCCCAGCGACCCCGATGGTCCGAGAGCACGGGGATCTATCACCAGCAGCTTCCAGAACCCAGCAACACATGTATATCCCAGACACTCCATGTATGCCATATATGCCGATCAGTTGGGGTGGTGCCAGGGGGGTCAATGTAAACACACATATTATGGCATACGTGGAGTGTCTGGGTATAGGTTCTTTCAAAAAAACATACGATCTCTTTAAAGGAAAACACATGTTTGTCAAAAGTCACAATCAGAATTTCTGGTGCAAAGCACCCAGCAAGGAGATCACTGCCAGCCGCAATGTTTCAGATACGCATGAAAAGTCATCAACACTCACACTGACTGAGAAAAGAAATGACTCTTCGTCGCAAGTCACACCTACCCAGCAGGTATAGCAGGGGAGTTCCTCGCGTGCTCCCGTGCGTCTCCCGATTTCGACACGGGGGTCAGGCTGCATCACTGGCGGAAAAGGAACATGGACTTTGAAGTTTGGACTCCTTGAAGGAGGAAGAAGAGGAAGGTTACCCAAAGGATATAGTTCTCGAAAGTGCACGGGAACTCCGCGCAAGCACAAGCTAGGGGCACCGCCGCTAGCGGTTCTGCATGAGCCAGACCAGCACACACACACACACCGCAACAAATGGGTTCACAAGAAGCACCCACATTGACCATCCCCAAACCATCAATGTATGGAATAGTGACATACATGTTACCCTGACCCCAATGGTAACTATTCCAGTCCCACTATTGACCATGGCTCGATTTAGTGACCCAAAAGAACCCCATTGAGCGGTCCAGGAACTCAGCTCCTTCTCTTTAACCAGTGGGTGCTAGGTCTGCTCGGCGTCTGGTATGGTCTGGTCAAATGTGTTGGCCGAAACCATTCATCGCTTGAGGTTCACCTGCCTGAGCAGCTCGAAAACAAGCAAGTCCAACACCAAGTGCTGGGCCCTAAATTAAAGGTCCTGAATGCTCTTGCTAGGTGAGGCCACCAGGAGATTTCATATCCTTGATTTCACCAACTCCTCTGGAATAGATCTTATATCCGACTAAAGCTACATCCCAGGAGGTTCCTGAGGGCTTCCGGAGGGGTTAGAGGCGCCACTGGATGAGACTGAACACCACTCCGGCATGAAACTTGTTACGAAACTTTCAGCCGTCCCGTGCTATCCGTCCACTGCCCAGTGGCTTTGTGCCATTGAGACGGGCTCTCCAAAAGCTCCTCTGCTCAGGGTGGAGCAAACGGACGATCAGAGGACAACAAAAGAATGGCCATCTTGTGACAATTTGTGACTCAGCACAAATTGGAGCCAAGTGAAAAACCATCCGAAACCAGTGGCTTTCAGCCCATCGAATCGGGCTCCAGCCATGAAACCCCACGGATTGTACCAAACGTTGTAGCAGGTGGAGGTGATTTCTGCTCCCCGGGGTGGCTTCTTCTCCGCGGAGGGGTCTAAGGAAGTTCCAGGACGTCTCCAGCGTGGTTTTCACCTGGTTCGTCAGCAATGAAGCCCAACAACACTCCATGCATGGCGTAGTGGTCTACACTAACGCTACCCTACCTTCTTCGGGTTGCTTTTTGGGGTCCGCTTAGGTGACGGACCAGCAGCATGAAGAAGTCTGAACATAGAACCTCATGCGTAGACTGTTGAATTATATAACACCCCCAAGCATGCATTGTAAAACCTCCCCAGGCCTGGCGGTTCAACCAAATCTACACTCCCTGAAATCGGAGAATGGATGGCTATGGCCTCGAGTTCGGTGATGAAATCAGAACCAACAGGTGGTGTTCACTCCCTCACTCACTCCCTCCACGGTAGCTACGACGAGCTGTGATCTCCATCCGGGTCCTGATCCAAGGCCAATGCCCTGGCGCTGGCGCAGGGGCCTCGCAACGAGTGCGGGGAGCCGGGCTGGGGCGAGCCAGCCAGCGAAAATGGATGGATTCACTGATAGAGTCCTCACAGGTTCTGGGGCCCTGGGGGCTAGTTGGTCGGATGGTTCTGTTGTCACGGCAGATTTGCTTACACAGTTGACTCAGAAACCTGAGATTCTCAGGACCCAAAAGGGTGACCTCTCTTGTGATAGTGGCCACTTGTGGCTCCAAAGCAGGGGGGGTGGAGGTTCTATAGATCCATCAAGGCACATAAAAAATCCATTAGATAAAACAGATTACAATAGATTGCAGCTAATTACGCCATCATGGATTATGATGATCCATGAAGGCACACCACTTTCTGCCACCCAAGTCGCTCATCTTGGCCTGCTTGGCTCTGGGCGTCGTTCCACCGCTCGCGAGCCGCTCGCGTGGGGGGACAGGGCCGGTCGCAACGGCATGGTACACGGACCGGAAGAGGAGACAGGTGAGCGTCACCTTGGCGGATGCTCCTCCCCTTTGTCGAGTGGAGAGTGGAGGGTCTGAGGGGCTGAGGGGTGGACCAGGGTGTGAGGAATGTGTTTGGGAGAGTTGTTTTTCGATTTGTTCCCAGGCGTTTCAGCTTTTGCCCATAAAGCAAGAACCGGACGGTGGGTCCCCACCAGAAAAACCGTGGTCAAGCCGTCGGAGAGCTCTTCAACCACCAGTGCACCACACCAGCTCAACGTCAACGGCTGCTTGAGTCTTTGTGCAAGCTGCCCAAAGAAAAAAAATAGTAAAAAGAGCACAACATGCCAGCACCACCCATTTCGGGGCCAGTGGATGGAACCTACATCTGGTGCTGGTGGATCTCTGGCTTAAACTGAAATGCGATAAAAAAATAAAAGGACCGGATAACCCCACATGATAAGTTTTACAAATTTCAAATGTATATGAACATCACATGGGAGACGGAGTAGTGAGATGAAAAATCAAGAACGAAGTGTGAGGAGAGAAGGTATATGAGGCGGTTGTGCTAAGACGTGTAGTATGATGATGTGATGGACGAGGATGAGAAGGAGGGGAGGGAGGAGGTGTGTGTGTGTGTGGTAAGATGGCGTGCGTGTGTGTGTGTGTGGGTGTGTGATAAAGTGTCTGATGATGTGATGAACAAGGATGAGAGGGAAGAGAGAGAGAGAAGGAGGCGGAGAGAGAAGTTTGGAGGCTCTGGATTTTGCGATCAGATCCGCATGAGACCTTCAAAACGTAACACACTCGAAACCACCATCAAAGCTATCAAGTGGTCTTATCCCCACCACGGCGGGCAGTGCTAGCAGGATGCAAAGTGGAGTGAGTGAGTGGAGTGATGGAGTGAGTGAGTGAGTGAGTGAGTGAGAGAGTGAGTGAGTGAGTGAGTGAGTGAGTGAGTGGAGTGAGTGGAGTGAGTGGAGTGAGTGGAGTGAGTGGAGTGAGTGAGTGGAGTGAGTGAGTGGAGTGAGTGAGTGAGTGGAGTGAGTGAGTGGAGTGAGTGAGTGGAGTGAGTGAGTGGAGTGAGTGAGTGGAGTGAGTGAGTGGAGTGATGGAGTGAGTGAGTGAGTGAGTGAGTGAGCGAGGGAGGGAGGGTGAGTGAGGGTGAGTGAGGGTGAGTGAGGGTGAGTGAGGGTGAGTGAGTGGAGTGGAGTGAGTGAGTGAGTGAGTGAGTGAGTGAGTGAGTGAGTGAGTGAGTGAGTGAGTGAGTGAGTGAGTGAGTGAGTGAGTGAGAGTGAGTGAGTGAGTGAGTGGAGTGAGTGGAGTGAGTGGAGTGAGTGGAGTGAGTGGAGTGAGTGGAGTGAGGTGAGTGAGGTGAGTGAGTGGAGTGAGGTGAGTGAGGAGTGAGTGAGTGAGTGAGTGAGTGAGTGAGAGAGTGAGTGAGAGTGAGTGAGTGAGAGTGAGTAGAGTGAGTGGTGAGTGAGGTGAGTGAGGTGAGGTGAGGTGAGGTGAGGTGATTCTTGTCGCGGCATTTACAAGGTGATTCCGAACCGGCGAGAACCAATACTGTGGAAATCACAATGGCAGTAGTGCACAGTGCGCACATCCTTGCCGCAGCCATTACAATGCGATTCGCAGCCTGTCACAACCATTGCTTTGCAAATCACAATGGCAGTAACGCACAGAACCGCAGGGGCCCCCAGCGGCGACCACGCGCGCCGCAGCCCCTTCTGCAGTCTCTGGACACTGCGCCGGACACTGCGGAGAGAGCCGGGCCCCCAGC